TCCAGATTCTCTGGCACTTGTACATTTTCATTTAAGTGAGGACTAGAAACAGACACCTGCTAAGCTTCTAACATAATATCACTGATAGCCTGGTCTTCTAGAAACAGCTATTACTAACATTAGAATCTCATTAGTAGTAATCTTCTGTTCTGTAAAGCTATAACAGATCTGTTCGAAGTGGAATCAAAGCAATACAGTCCTAGACTACACTCACACATCTCATTTGCAGAAACAATTTTTTTCCCCTTTTTCTTTTTTTTTTTTTCTCTTATTTACCTGTTTTACATCATTGAAAAATTGCACACAACATTTGAAGACCAATCAGTAAGTCAGCTTTGGAAGCACTCATCAGTGTCACTGTAAGACTGAAATTGTAAAGTGGGAAGTTTGTCACGGTACTGAGAAATTCATGTAGGGTACTGCAAAGCATTAAAACACAGAAGAAACAAACAAAGTAGAAAGCCGTTCAGCTGAACCATCAGAGGCACTCTAAAAAGTGGGGAAAAACCTGATAAAAGTGTTCTACAGAGCAATTAACACACCTCTAATTTGGGGAGGGGAGCTGTGTATTTTCAGTATCACACAGTCAGGTTACGAAAGTCTCCTGGCTGCTTCTGCCAGCACACAATCACATTTGAGACACTCTGAAGCACAAGGACAAAGCTTACTGTGCAAGTCACAGAAAGGAACCGCGCTGCTGCAGACCAGTATTTATAAGCTAATGTAATTCTTCCCTACAGCTTTGTTATGAGATTCTTCAGCCCCTTCCAGCTGCTGTATTTATTAAACACTGCCACCAGCATGTTAACTAAACCTACAACTGCTGCTTTGTAACCTGGTATCAAAGATTAACAACTGTTGGTTGGGGTATTAGACCGAGCACTCCCCTGTCAAGGAATCCTCCTCTACATCATGCATATACCAAGCCCTCAGGCTGGACAACTGAGAACTGAGTCAGAAATATCCTCACCAAAATATTTAGTTTATTCTTCTGCATCAGATCCTCAGTAACTGGAAAAAAAACACCAAAGGATGCATTCCAAAACACATTCTTTCCTGTCACTTTCCTATAATCTTACACTTCTAACTGCAATAATAAATACATCTTTAAGCAGTTTTCCTATCAAAAAAGCAATTTTACAACAATTATCTTAGTTGGTTAATGTCCAACTTTTTTCTTTAAAGAAGTGGTTCTTATGCCAAAACAGATATAAATCTTAAACTGCTTTGAAAAAGAAACCATTTTTAAATTGAACACTTTTTTTTTTTTTCTCGTTTAAAGTATTTTTTAAGCTTTTGGATTCAGGCAGTCCAAATAAAATCTAGAAAATCTAAAATGCTGTAGTGTGGGACAGTGCTCCACGTCAAGTCCTAACAGAAATGGAAGGTTTAAAAATAAATCAACTTCTATGCATCTCTTACTCATGTTAAACATCCAAGTTAGGATTAAAAAGGATTAAAACATCAACTCATATTTGGACTTTCAGAAATATTGGTTGGTAGACTAATACCACAGCTTTGTCTCAGACACATATCCTG